CGAGAAGGAAGGCGATTACTCAAGTTCCAGCCGGTCGAGGAGTTTTGTGTTACCATATTACAATTTAAAAAAAAAACGGTCAGGTTCATTGTCAACACGGCATGGATGGACAAATACACGGATGGTAGACTTCTTTACTTCGCTAGTTGCTCAATCCCTTGCTTGTTTGAAGAAAAGGAATAGTAATCTTTAGAAGCGAAGCTGCGATACCAAATGTCGCGGTCGGCCGGCCGGTGATGCGACCACGTTCGGTGGCGGTTTTATTTTTTTTTCTTTAAAAAAATGTCAGGGCAAACCGGTCCAAATGGGGGCGGTACATAGTAAAACTGAGGCGGTATTTAGTAACACCTTTTTTTTGTCCTTTCTGTAAGTGAATATTTAATGCAAATAGGTAATACTGCAACAAGATCTACCTCTATTCCCTTCAATATCCTCGTCCGTAGAGAGAGAAAAACCAAACAAATTCATAATAAACCGCCCCTCCTCCTCTTTGCATGCCGGTCGCGGCTTGTTTCACTCCTCCGATCATGGACTGGACCGGTGGTGGGCGGTCGTCTCTTCCATGCTCCGTCTTTCTGCCCTTAGGGTGGTTCGGTCGATGGTGGGCTCTTTCGCCTCGCTCCACCTTTCTGGTCTTTGTGCTGGGGTGACGACGGTGGCTTCTCCTGTGAGGTGAGTCAGGGGGTTTTTCAGCTTTGTTCTCTCATCATGCTACAAACTTTTAGGGGGTGATTGTTTATGAATTCAACTAGTTTTTATTTGGTTTGTTTGTTAACTATAGTTACTTTTGAAAAAATATGGTATAGTTAGTTTTTAGTGGATATATTAGAAGAATATTTAAATATAATAATTAAAGTTAATTTGATGTAAAGTAGGAGAAAAATAATTGGAAGTGATGGTTAGTTAAAATTATGTGATTGGATGAATAGTGAATTAAAGTTGGTGTGATGTGTAAAAATGATTGGTTGATATTATTTAATTATATTGATAATATAGGAGATAGTGAGTTGGGTTAAAGTTAAGTTAAATTTGAGTTTTGATTGTTTTTTCACTGTACAAACTATAAACAATCACCCCTTAGGGGCTCAATTTTTGTGTATGCCATATTTTGTTAGCCGTTCGAGTCAAGTTATGAGTTCTTAGATATGAAGTTCACGGGTATGGCCTCTCTTTGTTTTTAGTGCTAGGGACTGGTTTTTGTGCATGGTTATCTCATCGATGGAGTTTAAGTTGAGTTTTTGTATGTGGTTATCTCCTCGACGGAGTTTGTACCTCATTGGACTCGTGTGTTTGTTCAAAAGGGTAGGTCTAGGTTTTCTGGTTCCATGTTGTGTCCGTTGACATTTCTTTTGTACTCTTTCATTAGTTTTTCAGCTTTAATATGATTATCGTTTGAAAAAAAAAAAAATCGAGAGATATCTAAAATCAAATATAAGAAAAGTGAAAATTAAAAAATCCACTTAATTTTAACTCAATAACATACCTTTGGTGCTCTTACGCATGAGTAAAAGTGTGCATCGGTCGGTTCGGTCGACCGACCGAACCGAATTATAAAAACCGTGCATCGGTCGGTTTGATCGACCGACCGAACCGAATTATAAAAACCGAAATAACGAAACCATATTATGCCAAAAATTGAAACCGACCGAATTATCAATTTAACCGAACATTAACCGACCGAAATACCGAAAACTCATTCGGTCGGTTTTTTTTTTAGTCAAATTATGCAGACCCTATAGCCTTCAATTGCCAAATATAAAAACCCTAACTGGAAAATTGCCCCCTTTCTCATCAGTCATCCCCTCGCACTTCTCACCAGCGAATAAACCCTTAAAAGAAGAAAGCCTCTGCGCAGTGAGCGAAATTAATAACAGTTTTCATACGAAAATTTCCGCCGGTTGTTCCCCCGTGTCCTCTCTGATTTCAGGCATGTGATACTCATCTTTAATCATTGTTAATTTCATCCCATAATTGCATTAATTCCGGCGGTTTATGCAAATGGCTGTCGGTGTATTTTTGTGATTTAACTTATGTTTTTGGCCTGTGAGTCTTGTTGTGGTGATTATGTTGGTCTTGGTTTCGCGGTTTATCCTGATTATGTAAAATGTTTGTAAGTATTGCTTGTATTTGTCTCGTAGTAATTTGTGTGATATTGCTAGTTACTGAGTTTAACTTATGTGCAGCCTTTTGAGGGTTTGTTATCAAACACAATCTTGCTAGATGGGAGCATAATTATAACGTGTTTGCTTATCTAAACTGGGCTAATTTTTAACTTGTAGTTCACTGTGATTTTTGTGGCAGTACGGTATCTATCCACAATAACCGCTTAAGGATGGTGGATTTTATCTTCTTATTATTTGATTCGTTTGCCCTTCCTCATCATTTATCAGATATCAGAGTTTTGAAGTAGAAATAAATGCTTCCTTATTGGAAAACTATGTATGGCGTTAATAATTCGGTAAATATAGGTGTTTGTAGGCCGACAGATAACTATTCATTTGCCTGGTTAAAGTCAGGCATTTAGTCTACAAGCGGTGCTTAAAGTTTTCTCATGACCGTAGCTTCTCTTAATTCATGCAGTCCCTTATAAGCATCCTGTTCGTGTTATGGGAGACAGTGAGACCGCTATGACACAATTATCTGCTTTACATAATGATGCAAGTGCACTTGTTGCTTCTGATGCTGGTGGGCCCATCGTTTCAGCTAAGGAAAACATTGCTGGTTCCGCTCCTGCTGTTGATGCCCCTGAAAATATGACCCAGCAAGAAAACCCTGTTGTAATGGAATATGATGCTAACAAAAGTTTCGTTGGCCATGGTGACTCTTCTATGGACACTCAGGTTGCTGCTTATGGGTCCTCGCTTAATGTTAATGGTGTTAGTGAAACAGTGAATGGAGAAACTGAAGGTATTACAGAAAATGGTGTTGCTTCAGCCAATGGTGTTGGATCTGCTGCTTTGCATCAGCCTGTAGATGGTTCGGGTATTAATTATGATGCTTTACATAAATTATCGTCTACCAGGAAAGATGGAAGTAATAACTGTTTTTTTGGTTGAGTTGTGAATTCTGATGCAATTTGTCAAGACATTGTTCGAATTTTTGTATGTGACAAGCCTTGTTCTACCCTGAGAATTGCTTTTCTTTTTCCGCTAATTTCCTTTTCACAAGTTTCTGATTGGAATAACAACTCATTTGTTGAAACTTTTATATGTCAGGCCTGAGTACAGAAGAAGAAAGATTATGGAGCATAGTAACGACTAATTCTTTGGATTTTGATGCCTGGACTGCATTAATTGAAGAAACAGAGAGAATGTCGGAGGTGTGAACAGTAGATTAAATTTGGCCTGTATTATTAATTTTCATTAGTGACACAAACATCGAGGCTTGGAGCTTCAACCATATTGTTGCTTGTCTCTTTGATGTGATGTATTATAGTTTTTGTTGCCATTCTACTTCAATGACGGTCACTTGAATTAACTTGTCTCTTATTTCTTTACACTCCAACTTCCAGGGCAACATATTGAAAATTCGAAAAGTTTATGACACCTTTTTAGCGGAATTCCCTTTATGCTATGGTTACTGGAAGAAATATGCTGATCACGAGGCACGCCTCAGTTCAGTGGACAAGGTTGCAGAGGTGTATGAACAAGCGGTTCAAGGAGTGACCTACTCTGTGGACATGTGGCTTCATTACTGTGTTTTCGCTATCAGCACTTATGGAGATCCCGAGACTATCAGAAGGTAATGCTCATGACTCTGCTTTCTTTATCCTTTGTGGATTCAATAGATTACAGATTATAGATGTTGGTGTTGAAGTATTTTTTGTTGCTCTCTAACATGATTTTCAGCCATCCTTGCGGCGATTACCCAAGTGTATAAGGTGTAACGGTTTGTAGGTAATGGCAAAATGCACGTTAGATTTTAAAAACTCTGATGTGCGAATCCTTGCTCAGTCGGGTACCATATATAGTAACCGTGTGTGTGTGTGTGTAGGTTTGTCCATTGCAAATGGAGCTGGAAGAGTCATTGTTGACAATTCTCCTGGCATAGTGCTAAAAATGGACTAGATCAAAATTGCTCAATTAAATTCTAGTGCTTCTTCTATTAGTGAAGTTTCTATAAAAAATATATCAAACGACGCAATGCACCTCGGGTCGCTACTGAAACAGCCTCCTTGTATAATTACAAGGGTAAGGTCTGCGTACAATTGACCCCCCAGACCCCAACCAGTTGGGAATATACTGGGTATGTTGTTGTTGTTGTTGTTGTGTGTGTAGGTTTGGATGGTAATATGGGCAGATCATTTTCATTTCTACATTCCTTAGGGTTAGTAATGTATTCTTCATGAATTTTTGTGGTTTTTAACCATGTTGCTTCATTACACACAAATGCTGCCATGAAGATGTCGCTCAGTAAGGCTAAGAGGGCCTGTGTGACTTCTCCCTTGACGAGCTGTGTAAGATTCTATGAGGAAGGTAAATGCAGCATAATATGTTAGTTCATAATTCTTAAGTGATCTTTGAGTGAATTTTTCTTCCACCTCAACACCAGTCATCGTTGTACTTTTGTGGTTGATCACCGAGCAGCTGCATCTTCACTGAGTTTTGCAATTATATCTTATCCTTCTGATGTTTCAGGATTTTTGAAAGAGGATTGGCATATGTTGGAACTGATTACCTGTGCTTCCCACTTTGGGACAAATACATCGAGTATGAGATATCTCAACAAGATTGGTCTCGTGTGGCTACAATTTATACAAGGGTATTGGAGATACCTAACCAGCAGCTCGATCAATATTTTGAAGGGTAAAGTTTTGTACTTTGAACTTTTTTGTTCTTGTAATTAATGTGGTAAAACGAATTAGTCTGTGAATACAATATCATATGATAGTTGCATTTTTAGTGAGTAAATATTCATCTGCCCGTGCCTCTTTTGTCTGGATTCCTTGAGTGTTTAAGACATGACATTGACGGTATTGTTATGTGGTGGTGTCTGGATTATATGAATTTGGGGAAGCATAATCATGCCAAACATAATGCCCTTACTACTTCACTGTATCATGAATGGTCAGTCGTTTATGTTAATATGTTCAGAATGATGAGTTTTTTTGTTCTTACTAAGAAGATTACAGACCATGTTCCTTTCAATTGTTGGCTTTTGTTTTTGTTTTCCCTCTTCGCACGCCCTCTCTTTCCATTTACTGATAACATCATGCTTTATATATCTATTTTATATTGCTTTTATATGTCTCTTTTTGTCATGCTTTCCTCATCTCATATAATAACATTAGCGTCTATGTTTTATCAGATTTAAAGAGTTGGTTGCCAGTCGCCCTTTATCTGAGTTGCGGACATCTGAAGAAGCTGCTGCTGCCCTAGCTGTTGCAGATTCTGAAGCTGTAGCCCAAGAAAATGAGGGGGAGGTCCTTTCTAGTGCATCAAAGACTACAAATGCAAGCTTAAAAGAAGCTGAGGAGTTGGAGAAGTATATTGCTAGCAGAGAAGAGTTGTATAAAAAAGCAAAGGACTTTGATTCTAAGATCATTGGTTTTGAGACAGCTATTAGGAGGCCGTACTTTCATGTGAGGCCCCTCAATGTTGCAGAGCTTGAGAATTGGCATAATTATCTTGATTTTATTGAAAGTGGAGATGACCTCAATAAGGTAACTGACTTTGTTTTTCTTGGGCATATTTCATTTTATCTGGCATTTAGCTTTAGTTGCCCTTGTTATACATTGACTTTCAGTTAAGTACTATCTGCTGCGTCATTTGCTTTATTGGCTAAACCGTTGGAGAAGTGTCCTTTTAAAACAGCGTATTGATCTTGGATTAAAGCATGGGCCTTCCATTTGCTTTCTATAAGGCTAAGTACTTCAATCTCTCATTTGTGAGTTGAAATTCTGGGTTCATAATGTGTGTATGTCAATTTATTTGTTTTAAAGTTCCAATGTTGCATGCAGGTGTGTTCTTAACTTCCTAACCATGTATCTGTCAGGCATGAGGGTCCCTCCCTTCGTATTTGAGGGGAGGCCTTTTCCGTCAGCGAGTACTCTTGTGTGCATTTCTCTTAGTACTTTTGTTTACTTCTTCCATAAGCATAACAGTAAGATTGGATTGCTGATTTGTGGCTTTGTGTGCTCAGGTGGTTAAGCTTTATGAAAGATGCCTGATAGCATGTGCTAGATATCCTGAATACTGGATACGTTATGTTTTGTGCATGGAAGCTAGAAGCAGTATGGAGCTTGCCGAAAATGCACTTGCCCGTGCCACTCAAGTCTTCGTAAAGGTAAGGAGATTTGTGATTTTTCATGATTCAGACTTTCATAGAGTTGGTCAATCAAACTTAATATGATATGTTTCTAAGTGCCAAGTGAGTGCATCTTTTATGCTAAAGCAAAGGTCAATATATTCTGTTTGTCAATAGCTTGAGTGAAAGTCAATGGAGATCCAAGCATAGTCATCATATGTTTAGAAAATTGCAGTTATAGCCTAGACACCAAAATTAATGCTATGATTTATCAAGAATGCAGCCAGGCATGCATTTCAAGTTTTGTATGGACCAATATGACATGGAATAAGCTAAATTCTTTAGATGTGGTCAGGGTCCTAATTTGAGTTTTCCTTGTCTCGTGACTTAAGCTAGCTTTGCTATTCGATTCCCTTTTTTATTTTAATTTGTTCTTTTTATCCATGGCGGCACCATGGCTATGTGGTGTGGCGGATTTGTGCCAAGCCGTCATGCTAAAGTTGTGAAGAAGGGTGGTTATGGCGGCGCCACAGGCTGCCATGGCAGGATTTTGGTCTGCCGCCAATTTCTTCTATCTGCCATTGATAACACTGACACTTAATGTGAACTGCCTTTTCATGTCCTTTAATAATGGCCTATTGGTACAGAGGCAACCAGAGATCCATCTTTTTGCTGCTCGATTTAAGGAGCAGCATGGTGATGTTAATGGAGCTCGTGCTGCTTATCAACTTGTGCATAGTGCAATTTCACCTGGTCTTCTTGAAGCAATCATCAAGCATGCAAACATGGAAAACCGACTTGTAAGATTGCATGTGTAATTTGTTTGTGTTCGAATAAATTTTGTTTCTGTTAACTCGAAACTGTATGCTTCCTTTGTTTAACAGGGAAACTTGGAAGATGCTTGTTCCTTATATGAGCAGGCAATTGCAATTGAGAAAGGGAAGGAGCAGTCACAGACTTTGCCATTGTTGTTCGGCCAGTATTTGCGTTTTGTATTCTTGGTATGTCTTATCTTCTGAATGCAGTATAAAGTGTACGTTGGCTCTGTATTGGTGGTGCTTTTGTTCATGTAAATGTTTGTTATGCTTTGTTTATGTCTAGATCTTATTTCCAAGGAGTTTTACTCGTGGAATGCTGAAAGGGATTTTAAATTTGAAATAGGGACTATAGGAGTGTTAGAAGTTATGCTTGTCCCACATCGATTAGTTACTGGGCTGTTATTGTGTATAAGTGAGGGTTGGGCACCGTCTCCCAGTTTCATTTATCAAGGAGGAAGTTTCCTTTTCCTAAAAATTTCAATATTTTTGCTTTATAATGGCTGCCAGAAGACGTGGTTGGGCTTTCACTAAAAAATTGTAAATTCTTGTTTCTCTTTCAGCTTTTTTCCTTCTTATTATATCTTGATCCCCTTATCTAGGGAACTTGAAATTATTGATTATATCTTCAGTCTTCTTATTAATTTGTTATTATGATGACTAAAGATCCTCATTTCTTTAATGCGTTGCATTCTTTCAATCGTAAGTTATGATTTTGATTCTTTTTAGCTGTACGACTTGTGTGTTTGAATTTTATCGATAGGCCTCTCGCAATGTTGATAAGGCAAGGGATACCCTTGTTCAAGCTGTGGAGAATACCCAATTGTCAAAACCCCTTCTAGAGGTATCTGCTTGCTGCTTTGTTTTTCTTTTGCCCTCTCTGAGAAAATTTCCTTGCTCGTTTTATGTATAATTTTAAATATGTAATTATTTTTTTTACCTTCTTATTTTCCTTGGGGTATTCATTTGTATTCACATTTTCAGTTTTAAACATTGCAGTCTATGATCCACTTAGAATCAATCATGCCTTTTCCGAAGCAAATAGAATATTTAGATTCCCTAGTTGATAAATTCATCGTTCCGACTCCTGAGAACCCTAGTGTTGCTAGTGTTGATGAAAGAGAGGAGCTATCAAGCATCTTCTTGGAGGTATTGACATTTGTTTCTACGTTCTCGATTTGTTTTGGATTTTGAAGTTCATCAATACAGTTCCTGCTGTATCTGGCAGACAAATATTTGCTTATGACTGGTGTTTGCCATATTGTTGCAGTTCTTGGATCTCTTTGGAGATGCTCATACTATCAAGAAGGCTGACAACCGTCATGCAAAATTGTTCTTGCACCACAAAAGCACATCAGAGTCGAAGAAGCGTCATGCGGAGGATTATTTAGCTTCAGACAGAACAAAACTTGGAAAGTCACTTAATCCGATGCCTGGTCCTCCAGTGCTCGGTGCATATCCCAGCATTCAAAATCAGTGGGGAGCAGCTGGTTATGGTGTTCAGCCTCAAGCCTGGTCTCAAGCTTCACAGGCTCAAGCACAACACTGGAACCCTGGCTATGCTCAACAGGTGTTTTTCTTTTTATAGTTTTTGTTTTTTATTATCTTCTTTTCTTGTTCTTTGCAACTTTTTTATTGGAGTTTGATCCACTGTTCAGTGGTCTTTTCCTTGTGAACTACCTCAGGTTTTCTTAATAGTCTTGAGACTCGACTCTCTTTTACTTTTTTCTCTTTTAGGCCGCTTATGGTGGTTATGGAGCGAGTTACCCCCACCCCCAAGTAGCCACGTCCGTGCCCCAAACTGCCACATACGGAAGTTATCCTCCGACTTATCCCACACAGGTATCATGATTATGAGCGTTGCATTGTTTGTGGTTCCATAGTAGACCTTTTTTTTTTTCTATTAGAAAAATATAGTAATATTGCTGAAACCATTTATCCTCCGACTTATCCCACACAGGTATCATGATTATGAGCGTTGCACTGTTTGTGGTTCCATAGTAGACCTTTTTTTTCTCTATTAGAAAAATATAGTAATATTGCTGAAACCATTTCGTACCTATTTTTTCTGTACATGAGTCTGGTTCCATAGTTGTAACAAAGGATTGATTCTTGAATTTTTTTCATCATGTTTACAATTTCTTTTGATTGGGGTGATTTTCTGGTAGTTAATGTTTAGGAATTTTCTACTTTCAAAGTTCCTTCTTCATTTGTTGCAAATGCAGTTTCGGCATTTCACTACATGGGGCCTCAAGCCGCAACTATTATGTATCTTAAATATTTTTCTTGCTATAATGGTTCTTCCTTCATGCAAACTTTATTACCAGTTCCAATGAAGTTGATTCGTTCTTTTATTACTTTTGACACATGCAGGCTTACGTGCAGCCAGTTGCAAGTGCAACTTTGATCCCAGCCCAGCAGCCTGCTGCTGCTGCTGCACCTTCTGCCACATATTACTCCAATTACTACTGAGAAGGCAATAGGCAAAGTCCTAACTAATACCTGCAAGATTTACATCGATTGTGTGGATGGGGTTTGGTTTGTCAAGTCTGTTCGAGGATATGTTAAATGTAATGTTATCTGGCTTTTGAAATTATAACGAGTCACCTTGTATTTTTCTTTTTCTTTTTAAACTCGCGACCGTATGCCTTGTGCGCTTTTTTTTTTTTTTTATTGACCATAATAGGCGACATGAATGTAACTGCTTGACTGATATTTAGGTTTTTTACTCGAGTCCGTAACTTGTGGAAAACGATTGTTATGAGAGGATCTTATATCTGCTTCGTCATTGTCTTTCGTACTGTGAATTGGCGTAGCTAGAGATGTGAGTTACGTTTTAGTCTGGTTTCGTTTGGGCGTTTGTAAGAGGTCGGAAGATGGTTTGGTTTGTATGTGCCTTTGCAAGTCCCCTCTTATTTGGAAGCCATATGAAACAATATTCATTATTGAGATTGCAAGGAAAAATTGCCATTTGTTTTTTTAAGGAAATTAATTTTGGACAAACGAGAATGATCTTTTTTATTTATTTGTTTATTTTTTTATATACAATTGCAATAAGTGTCAGATTAGGTTAATATCAGTAATGTTCACCTGTCCACGGTGAGCACATGTTAATATATTCACCGTTTATGTGGCATGCAAACACCATTAATGTGTGTAGGCCACATAAACGGTAGGCATATTAACATGTACCCATCGTAAGTAGGTGAGCATTATACAGGTTAATATATCTCATCTCAATAGTATATAATATGGGAAATGATTTTTTTTTTTTTTATTATTATTATTATTATTCTGCAATGCAGTTGGTGTTAAATTATTAGATTAAATAAAAAGAGGCTTGGTATGGAAAATCGAAAAACTACTAATATATAGTATGGTTGTGTATAATGAGATCAGTTACATTATGTGTCAATTTTTTTTTTATTTGTTTTTTCCTTGGTGAATACTAGCACAAGTATTACACTTGTGTATACCAGTTAAAAAAGTTTAATTTTAAATTTAAAAAACAAATAAAAAGAAGTTTATATTTAAATTTAAATATTTTTTTTTAAATTGTATATTATTTATATTTAAAATAACACTCCATTTGTACGATATACTAGTCTTAATAATAAAGTTTTCCAATTCATATCATATAATGATTTTAGAGATAATTATTACTTGATATTTAGTTTTTTGTTTAATTAGTATTGATGGATAATTTATTTTTTATAAAAAGATAAATATGTTATGTGGAATCACTGGAGGGGGATTGGAAAAAAAATAAGATTTTGACTGGATAATTTTTTTCACATTTAAAAAAAATTAAAATCTAATTCAATTTAATCTAACTTAACACCCTAATTTTTTAATTAGTATAATTAAATAATATCAATCATCATCTTTACCAATCGCATCAATAAAATTCGCTATTAATTTACTTTACATATATTAATATATTAATTGTTTTCGATCGCATTTATCTTATTTTTGAATTATATCAATTTTAATAATTATATTTTAAATATTATTTAAATTTAAAATCAAATTCCACTCAATCAACTTTATTAAAAATTAACTTTTTATCCAATAAATAAAATCAAAATTAAAATATTTTATTTTCAATTATCCCGTATAATTGTCAAATTAAATTTCATAACATTTAGAATGACAATCATACTTAAATGACAATCATACTTTTGAATATGACTTTTCTGCAATATTTCTATTTATATATTTACATATATATATATATATATATATATATATATATATATATATATATAGTAGTATTAATATGGAAGGCCGGAATCTGGTAGAACAAACTCAAAACAGGCCAACCAAACAGGGCTAGTCAAACAGAGCAATAAGGACCACCCATCCAAATACAAGAGTCTTGAAGACGAAGGCACTACAAAATATTTTATAATTGCAATCTATTCCATAGTTAACTTAAATATGTTACAAACTTAAATATGTTACATGAAATATAGGTGAGTATCATAACTTTTTATATAATTTTAACTATGGTATTTAGCTATTTATTATATATATTCGACATCTTGGTATATATTAATTTGGAACAATGGTATTTAACTATTCATTATATATATTCGACATTTTGGTATAAATTAATTTGGAACAAAAATAATGGAGGGCTACCACTCGTCTTCTGATATCTACAATCTAATAATATGTTACTATACAGGAATATCTAACATCTTCAACAAAAACCTAAAATATTCTAAAATATAAATCGGGTTACATCTACTATCCGAACTTAACCAAGTGTACATTAGTTAGCAAAGTATTCATTTTACTGACTTACATTTTGTTGCATAAACATAGCTCGGTAACATTTACCATTGAACTTAACTAAGTATACATTAGTTTACTGATTTACATTCGCTGTAGCATTAGCCACTCAAAATTCATTTAAAACGTGAATATATCACAAACAATACGAAATGAAACATGTATTGCTTAGAAACACACTTATTAATTGAAACCATCTCAAAAGTAGCATGATTTCTTCTGTCATTCAAAATTTGTGGTGACAACATTCACATACAGTTCTTCTAATCCCAGAAGTATGAGATGTATATAGCACTATAGCTTTCTTTAAGTTCCCATCGAGTTTTGTATATTTTTCCCCACATGGCAAGCATTTTAGGAACGTCATTAGTTTCCAGTGGTGTAATTTTCCGACATGGCATCATAACTTGCCTCGGATAATAAGCTTATTTAGCTTTCAGTCTTTCACAAAAGATGTATGGAAGTGTAAGACATAAATGTCCTTATGAATTTGCATTTACACGTTGAGTAATGAGTGAATAGTGATACAAAAATCACCCTCGAAGAAAATTGCCTAATGGGGGCTATAGACAATTAAATGTATTTGCAAATAGCTCACATGTAAATATACTTTCGTCCATGGATGTTAGAGACATCCCAGCACCCAAAACAGGAACAAGGTTGAATATCGGCCCTTTATCTGTATTGTCGATTCTTTTGCTCATCTCACCAAATTCATTGAATGCATTCGTGAAGATTGTCGAAAGCAGTCCATGGCTGGCGTGAGGACTTGCCGTGAAATAGATCCGCAAATTCTACAAGCAAACATCAGTGGGAGACGATCATAATTTATTAAGGATAGAATGTCACTTTGATCTTACTAAGGCTAGAAAATAGCAAATAGGTTGCTATATGACCCATTTGCAAATATAATAGTAGTGAATGTATGCAGACTATTCTGACTAATGGGGAAGCAAACAAAAAAAAAAAAAATTAAAAAAAATAATGAAAGAATGAATAGCATATTGGGGAAGAATAAGACTAATGAAAAAGGAAAAAAACTTACCAGCACATTATCCCAAGAAAAATCATTTTCTAGAAGAACATTGTCAAGAAGATAGATGCAAAATTCTGCCATCTTTGACAGGTGCTTATCAGTAATTACTTGAATTGTTGGCTCGTTGCTAATAGTGTTGGAACAGATCTTTGTTGCGATTTCCTTTGTGATGGACACGACAGCTACACATATTCTTCCGCTAATGGTACATTTCTGCAGACAGTCGTTATGCCAGCTTTCAGGCTGAAATCCCCAGTATGCTTGTCTCGTGCGTACAACTTGTTTGGTGGAATCTGTTGGAGACTCCAGATTCTCCCTATTGTCAAGCAGGGGTTTTACCTCCACTAAAGCTCTGTATAGAATTTCATACAACTGATAAGCTACAGATCCCATAATAATTATAATACAACCCTGGGATTTCGCTTAGTTAAAAAAAAA